CGCAAGGCCTTCATCTTCCTATCGAGAATCGTCATCGGTCACTCAATATAATTCAGGTGATCATCAACATAAATATCACCTAATGTGACAACAACGGACTCATCGGCCACACATTTCCGCAACTGGGAAACATGAAAAGTGATGTGAATTTGAATGAGCTCCTCTGGTAGATCCAAACGGTGGGTTATCCTGCCCACTCTAGCCATAACTTGGAGTGGACCAATAAACTTGGGGCTGCATTCCTTGCTTGCTGAACCAAGTAACGCCATTCCAAGGTGACACCTTTAAGAGTACAATATACCCGACTTGAAATTCCAATTCAGATCGACATTGATAAGCGTAGATCTTGTGTAGACTATAGGTTATATGTAATATCTGCCTAACCTGCAGAATAAGCTCTATTGTCTTGAGTAATATCTTCGTGCTCCCTATGACCCTCTGACCAACCTCTCCCTAAAAAATTAGGGTATGACACTTCCTCCCATAGATAAGCTAGAAGGGAGGCATACGGATGCTGACATGCTGACTGTTGTTCTATGAAAACTTAGCCAAGGGAAGGTATGAGTCCCAACGCCCACCGAAATAAATGATACATGCCCTCAATATATCCTTAAGTGTCTGAATGGTCTGCTTGCTCTTCCCGTCTGTCTGTGGATGATACGTAGTGCTAAAATGCAACTGGGTATCAACTCTTTGTGGAACCTCTTCTAAAATCAGGACGTGAAACGAATATCTCGGTCTAAAACAATCCAAATAGGGATACCATAGAGAGCAACAACCTCTAGGACATAGATGTCGTCCAATTTCTCAGTCGAGGAGCTTCCCAGATAGCCAGAAAGTGTGCATTCTTGGTCAATCGATCGACAATCACCCATATAACACCAAATCCTTTTGTAGTCTTTGGTAATTTTGTAATGAAATCGAAGACAGTCTACTCCTATTTCAATAATGGGACCTCTAATGACTACAATTTTTTTGTGAGGGAACTGATATTCAGCCTTGACCTTCCGGTAGGTCATGCACCACTCCACAAACCAAGCTATAAATCGCTTCATAAATGGCCACCAGTAACTATGTCTCAGGTCATGATACATCTTTATTGCACCGGATGGATAGAAAATTTCTATTTTATGCCTCATCCATCAAAATTTGTCTGGTCCCACAAGAGTAAGGCACCCAAATCCTGTCATGCAGTATCAACGACCCCTAACTATCATAATAAAAAAATGGATACCTAACCAACCACCTGCTCACTCTTCCGATTCTTCTCATTGACGACCTCCATCCTCAAAGCTCTAATCATCTCTAAAAACAGAGTCAGAACTGTCATCCTCAAACATAGCTCTTGAATTGGGACACTAATCGTCCTGTGACTCAGAGCATCAGCCACCACATTGGCCTTATAGGGATGGTACAAAATCTCATGTTCGTAATCTTTCATTACAACCAACCCATCTCCGTTGTCCTATATTCATATTGGGTTGATCCATTAGATATCTAAGACTCTTATGGTCTGTATAGATGGTACACCTGACCACATACAGGTAGTGGCATCAAATATTGAGGTCAAAAACCACAACCCCAACTCCAGAATATGAGTAGGGTAATTTGTCTCATGAGGCTTCAACTACCTCAAAACATAAGTGATCATGTGCCCTTATGTATCGAAATGACACCCATACCCAGTATCAATGCATCACAATACACTACAAAGTCCTCAACTCCCTCAGGGAGGGTAAGTACTAGCAGCTCACAAATCTACTGATGTAGAGTCTCGAATTTCGCCTGCTGCCTAGGCCCCCAAAGGAAACTGATGTCTTTCCTCATCAACCTAGTGAGAGGGACTACAATCTTGTAGAAGTCACAAATGAATATCCTGTAGTAACCTACCAACTCAAGGAAACTTCGAATCTCAGATGGAGTCTTCAAAACTTCGCACCACATAACCACCTCGATCTTGGCCAGATAAACCAAAATACCATTCTGGTTGACAAGGTTCCCCAGAAACTAAACCTCATGTAACCAGAACTCACACTTGGAGAACTTGGCATATAACATCTCTGGCTGAAGCACTCCACGAATCTCACAAAGGTGCTTGTCATGTTGTTCCTTGGTCATAGAATAGACCAAGATATCATTGATTAAATATGCATCAATCTATCCAAGATAGGCCTACACACTTGGTTCATGATGTGCATGAACGATTCCAATGTGTTGGTGATCCCGAAAGGAATCACCAATAATTCATAATGCACATAACGAGTTCGGAAGGTCGCATTCAGAATTTCATCCTCATGAACCCTCATCTGGTGATAACCAAATCTCAAGTCAATCTTGTAAAGCCATGATACTCTATGCAACTCATCAAAAAGGTCAATAGTCTGTGGCAGGAGGTTCTGGTTCTTTAATGTTAACTTGTTTAGCTTTTGATTATCAATTCATATCTAGTGCAAACCATCCTTCTTCTTAACAAAAAGAATCGTTGCTCCCCAAGACAAGCTACTCCGTCAAATGAAATCCTTGTCCAAGAGTTCTTGAAACTAAGAGGGCAACTCCTGCATCTTGGGCGACGTAAGGCGATGTGACACCTTGGTAATCGGGGCAGAACCAGGGATCAAGTCGATCTGGAACTCTACCTGCCTCTTAGGAGGCACACCAGGCAAATCCTCAGCGAAAACATTAGGAAATTCCCTCCCAATCAGAACATAAGAAACTAACTTCTTTCCCTTAAGTTGAAAATCAACAACGCAAGCTAGATACAGCATACACGCATGATGAAGATACTGTCTTGCCTTGGGGAGAAATAGAAAAGCAGAACCGACCCTGGTACCCTCACCATAAATATTCAGAACTCCTCCAATTGGGTCACAGACCATCACCAACTGTTTTTCACAGCCAATCATTGATCCAAACTGGATTAACCAATCCATACTAGCAATCATGAAAACATTCCCCATCGTAATAAGGATATGATCAAAATAGGGAATCAGACACCAAAAATCTCTAATACATAATCCTAATATACCTCAAAAGCCGAAACGGTGTGATCAGCAACTATAACGACCCTCAAGGGTTGATCCAAGGCCTCATGAACAATAATAAAATATTTAGAAAAGGATGTTGACACAAAATACTGACTTTCACCCTAGTAAAAAAAACTAAAACGGGTATAGAAATCACAAGGAAAGTACCTAAGAAGAGCATAACATAAGCATATATGTCATACCACAAAACCAAGAACGTCGGAAAACGTTCTGGGGTAGAGGACGTGGTGTAAAGTATCACTACAATGCAAAGTAGTAAACAAGCAATAACATCGTCCATTGCATCAATAGTATAATTTTAAATACAAGTGTGTTCTTTCATAGAATAAGACAACATAATGAATAATCAAAATAAAAGACGAGTCTTGACTGCTCCGTCTTCTCAATACCTGGTCATCGTACCTCTCTATTGGTAACCTGAGAATACAAGTTATTTTGAAATCGAGTATTTTAGTGTCATTGATTTGTAAAAACTTGTAATGAAAAACTTGTAATTGTTTTGGGGAAAAGTTTGTATAAGTATGAAAATCCTAGAAAATCCCATATTTCCTACTAGTATAAAAAGTAATCTTCTACCAAGACCCGACTGCTTTGAAAGTATGTATCATTATAAAAATGATGATTTTTCCCCTGTATAACTATTATTATAAAAATATAGTCTACCTCATCATTTATGTGAATGTATCACAAAATAAAGGTGATAAGGAAAATAATATATTTATATCAAAATATATCCTACATTATCGCTTATGTGAATGTGTCACAAAGTAGAGGTAATAAGGAAAATAGTATAATCCTTATGAATGTATCCATTTGTATAGGATAAACACGGTGTGGTAACTCACCGAACAGTACAAACGAGAACATCCGAAGATGAGCACACCTTCTGTTGTTAGCAGCCAAGTGTAGGATGGTCAGCCCATGAGTATGTAGAAGTATAACTTCATATAGTATGTAGTAGTGTCTCTTCATATAGTATGTACTAGTGTCTCTTCGTATAGTATGTATTAGTGTCTCTTCGTATAGTATGTACTAGTGTCTCTTCATATAGAATGTACCAGTGTCTCTTCGTATAGTATGTACTAGTGTCTCTTCGTATAGTATGTATTAGTGTCTATTCGTATAGTATGTACTAGTGTCTCTTCATATAGTATGTATTAGTGTCTTTTTGTATAGTATGTACTAGAGTAGTGTATCTATAGACTTATGTATGAACTGACTCTTAGTGTGATTCATTGTACTAGGAATAGTAAATAATATCTCCTAACTATACCAATTATAGTTACTAGTAATGTACGTGTATAACCGAAAGTATGCCTTTGCTACCCAAAGGTAATGAATTGAATGATAAAACTTTTATGTCTATATATGTATACCTAATATATAACTAATATTTAGATGCCATTCGGACAAATAACCGATACCATAAGGCCACATCCAAAAAAGGAAAAGGAATTAAAGTGAGCTAGCAGTCC